TTAAAAGAGAGAGTGATAGGGAAGAGGTTTTCTATAAGCTCACAACCTACAGTATCTCTTACAGTGTAACTCCATTACGCACCAATACAATGCAGGTCACTGAGTCCACCATTTCTTCCACCTCATACAAGATTAACACAAAAATGACACACTGAAAATCTTAAGTATGTATTTCCCTGAAAACTCTGATGACTGATTATTACTTTTTAAAAAGTCTAGAGCCATACCACTGGACATTAGAGGCTGTAGTGTGGGGGCAAAATTATGAAAAATACTGGCATTTTGTTGTTTTAACATGGTCTTGGGTGGCATCACACAAAAAGGCTCTGTTTAAATTAAAATTAAAATGGTTTATCATCTTGGAAGCATGACAGTGGTTGAATTTTATGTCTTTAGCCAGGCTAGCAGCATGGCTCTATGTCGGTCAGTCGTAAGGTCCACCACTTTGATTCAAATTGAAATATCTCAACAACTGACAGATGTATTACCATGAAATTTTATACAGACATTCACGTTGCCCTGAGGATGAATCCTAATGACTTGAGTGATCCCCTGATCTTTCTTCTTGGAATACAATGAGGTAGACATCTGTGGTTTTAACTGAAATATCCCGACAACTGTTGGATGGATTGCTGTGAAATTTGGCACATGCATTCATGTCCCTGTCGAGATCAATTCCAGTCCCTATGACGATCCTATGATGTTGTTGGCCAGCACACTTTGGTTTATGACCAAATACTTTGTGATTTGTGCCAATTATCAAATGTTAGTGTGCTAGCATGCTAAACTAAGATGGTGAACAAGGTAAACATTACACCTGCTGACCAGCAGGAGAGCAATGAGACAAACAACACTACAGTATGTGGCCTTTCATCACACCATAAAATGTGAATGGAGAGTTTCAAATGTGTATAGTGGAGCATAATTACATCAAATGGATGAAAGATGAGAGCTGTCAACACTTTCCTGGCAGGATGGAGAGACAGAGGAAGAAAGATGGGAGGGGGGAGTGATCAAGAGGCACAGAGATAGAGAGAGAGAGAGAGAGAGAGAGAAAGAGAGAGAGAGAGAGAGAGAACTGCCATGACTGGGGGAAAACTGAAAATATCCAGTCAGACTAGATGCAACCTGGACAGTCATCCAGACCTGCCAGCCCAAGAGGGTCAGGCACTGGATTTGCATCAGTGTGAGCTGCAGCCCTCTGCATGGCCAGATGCATGGCTGTGCCCCAGTGTGGAGGTGGTGGCTTAATGTTAATGTTCAGTGTGACTTTGTGTGTTTGTGTGTGTACACAAACACAAACACACACACACACACACACACACACACACACACACACACACACACACACACTTCCGAACACCAAAGCCAGGCAGGGGGCTTCAGTGGGTCACTGACCCCAGGCATGGGGCCTGGTTACTGGGAGAGCGGGGTCGATAGGCCTGGCCATGTGGGGGACAGAGGGTCAATATGGATGAAAGACACTGAGAAAATGTTATTTTCATTTGACTCGTTGTATTTTACTTATTGTCTATAAGTAAATGTCATAAACTTTAATTGTTATCAACGAGTACTTCAACATGTACACAGAAACCAGGTTACTGGCTATGTATTACTGTACATGTATTGGATATAAAATCTACTGACTGCATTTAAAGCATTTTATGCTTTGAGGCTGACAGTATTGCTGTAATGCAAATAAATAAATACACATACTCACAACAGTCAGTCTGAATATATTCACAATAGGGATCAGCTGTTCTACCCTTGATTTTAGTTTTTGTTCCCCATTCAACTTTCAAAAAGTCTGATTTAATTTCTCAAGTCTCAAAAGTACAAATTTTAGGAGACTGTTCAGACTTCATATCCACTATTTTAAAACATGAACCAAACTTTTTCTGTGTGGTGCTACCTTTTGTTGATGAATTCCCCTTTATTTTGCCAATATTCATATCATACCTCCATTCATGCCAATAAAGCATATTGATCTGATTAGAGAGAGAGAGTGAGAGGCAGACTGGAGTGTGTAATGGGGAAGGCATTGATTATGGCTGATAACCCTGGCTCTTTGATGTGGATAATGCAGTCTCTTTCTTCCTGCCTCTGCACTGCCTTTACACTCTAAAACCCCCGGGCCTCAGAGGATATTGGGTTTACAGAGAGAGAGGGAGAGAGGGAGTATACATCACACACAGTGCATAAGCTTAAATGTGACAGAAAGAAGTTGTATATGGTGGAGACAGAGACACAGAAAGAGAGAGAGGGGGCATGTAGCTGTGTGTAAGATATTAATGTGAAGAAGACATGTAAGGGGGAAATGTGTGTCTGTGTTTGCAGGTTTATTTTGAAAGTTTGAGAGAGTGTGAGTGAGAGAGAGAAAAAATGTTTTCAGTGATAAACTCAAACAGCAGACGAAGTTAGCGACTAGCATGTGAATAGTAGCTAAACAGAGATTGTTGTTTACTTTAGAGGAGGTATTTTGTATTAAGGATGGGAAACATAATAAGTATTTGCATGTTCACTCAAGCACAACCATGCTACACTGATGCTTTCCATCTGGTCCTACACATTTGACCCACAAAATAACAAAACATTTAAAGAAGCAGAATCTGACTCGTCATCACTGACAATGTCACAGAGAAAAAACCCACCTGTAACAGGAAGATTATCTTATACTGAGTGTGTTCCTATGTATATTCACACCCATAGATGAGCAGCGAGCTGCTTCCCAGCCTCTTCTACAGTTTTATTAGAAAACTTTGCTTTTATTATTTAAAAAAATCACCCTTGCACATTATTAAACAAATTAGGGGATGTGTCATGATTGAATCCAGGTTTTAATGCCATGTTGGGTTTTTTTTGTTTGTTTGTTTTCAGTGTAACTCCTCATATTTTATTCATGAGGCCTACATAGAATGGGCTGCATAATCGATTCAGTCAAGAAATGTGTCAGTGAAGAGAGAGGAAACATGGGGTGATTTCAGCCATAGCACCGACTTGGTCCCAGTAACAGTTGTAACAGTGATGATCTCTGTAGTCATTTCAAAGACTTGAAAGGGGTCGAATGACTGAATCAGTTCAACAACATGAAACATTAAAACATAAATGTGGATTTCAGAATAAAACCAGAATAGACCCAACCAATAGAACCAAGAATAAAATAACTATTGATCATGGGCTTATCTCTTGCAGTGTTTCCCTAGACATGTCAAGCTACTTCTGCAGTTGACAGTGGCAACATGGAATGACTCAACTATAACTGGATAAAGATAGAAATTACAATTCAATAAAATATATAAATAAATCCATAAATTTATATTTAATCAGCTGTAACAGCGAACAATGGATTAACAGTTGAAGAAGTTAGCTATAGGCAATGAATAGCTAAAAGTAGCATATAGAAAGTGGACATGGTTAAATGGATAGGTCTAAACATAATGAACAGTTAGATAAAAGTATGTGGCTGGCTTCTGCCTCTCTGAGTTCTGCTAACTTAACCTTAAGTTATCTAACTTAACCAAATGACCTAAACACAAACTCTTGTGTGCACCAGTTATCATATGGGAATTTTGGGTATTTCCCCAAAAGCTTAATCTCCCATGATTTATTTTCCAGAACCTCAAAACAGATTTTTTTTATTCGGTTAGTATCCATAATCAATTACAGCAATCAATTATTATTAGTCTGATTACACACAGAAGAGTCACAGTGATGATCAGTCACTCTCTGGGCCTGGGCACTTTTCAGGACAGTCATGAGCATTTGCGGGGCTCTGTGATGGTTTGTGCTTTCTGTGTGACCATGTGGGCTTTGAGAACAGTGACTGAAGTCAAAATGGTTGATGAGGAGCCAACTGAGCCAAGCCCTACAGAGCTGGGATGACCTCATTCTCTGTCTCTCTGCTCCATCAGCTCCACTCGTTGACCCCGAGCTGGGAACGAGGTGCCGAGGGGAGCTGGCTCCCTCTGCTGGAGACGCTCTGACCATAGCGACCTTATCCAGGGCCCCACTGGCATACACTGTATATGGTGCAGTAGTCATTTATTAGTCTCCCTGCTTTTCACTAGGTGCATGCTAAGATAGTCTCCTGCAGTTAAAATTGAAAGGGAAAATGGTGTAGAAAGGTGGATTTTTTTTTTCTTATTCTTTGAAAGCTTTAGAGGTATGAATAGCTTGTTGTCCCTAAAAGTGACATGTTAAAAAAGGAAGTAAGGAAGGAAGGAAAAGGGGGGTATTGAAGGAGGGGAAGAACTTAACCTTTAGGAACAGAACATGAAACTAAATATTACATTATTATTATAATACTATTTGTAAGTTTTGCTATTGCTACATAGCCAACATTAGCATTAACAGCTGTTTACTCATCAGTCTTGACAAGAGCTTCAGCCACTGTTGCGTTTGCCAGACAAGAGGTCATAATACGCCCTCTGTACAGCACTACTTCAGACTGGACGCTACAGTGACTCGGTATCGGAAAGTGACGAGACGGGCCAACCAGGCCAAAAATGGCTGGTTAGCACTTCAGTAGAAGAAAAGAAGTCAGAGAAATATAAGCAAAACAAGAGGGTGGCTTTCCACCACTGGAGACAGCTCTTGGTGAGTGAAGGAATGAAGTTTGTTGCTGAACTTGCAACATTTCTTCTAGACTGATAAGTAAACAGCTGTTACTGCTAACGTGATGCTATGTGTCAATACCCAAACTTACTAAATAGCTCCTTTTTAAAGGTCAACTTACTTGCTCTTGTGGGCTTTTCACCACATTCAATGGTCTTCATTTAGTGGAATAGACTTGGGTGAGATGCAGCTGAAATTTTTAAAGCTAGCTACCTAGGATTATTTTCTTACATAGAAAGGAAATAGACACAAACAACAAGAAGGAAATGCATACGAATATAAAGACACATAATGACCCGTAACTGACCCTTTAACATGACCATGTTGATGTTGATTGTGCATCATGCTGTAACAGTAAGTAAAAAGAAAAACAAGAGAACTTATGCAAAGACACATTATTGATTTTAATCACGATCCATAACAGCTCAAACAGTTCTCATTGAAAAGGACTGAGGCCGTGTAGCCAGGAGAGCGGGCCGAAGCCTCTTGGACTGGAAAATAAAGAAAATCTTTTTGCATTACAAAAATATATGTAGAGATATCTATTTGCAGATTAGCTACAACCAGGTAATTTAGCTCAGTGTATAAATTATCCCTTTGCAGACAAAGAAAGGCAGTGTTTAGTTTTCTCAGCGATTACCCACGTAGCAAGCAAATGGTCCGACGCTGCCAAAAATGTTTAAAAATGACCAGATATTATTCACAACCAAACGCTGATGCTTACTTAACATTACCTTGCTAACATGATAAACAACAATAAGGCACTTGAAGTTCCACAATAATCAAAATCATTTTGCAGGAGTCCTACAGAGATTTGCCTCTGTGTCCACCGGGTGGCTCATTTGTCACAACTGTTCATGAGAAGTTTCGGGGGGAATGGCTGTGCAGTGTGGCTGATACTTGTTTGTGAAGCGTGGTGCTTGTTAAATAAGATGTTTTTAATGGTGCTGCAGCCTGTTAAACCATTTACAGTAAATGTATCGTAAGTATGCATGTAACGTTTTTATCTGTTGCACAAAAATTTTAGTTACATCTTAAAACTCATGCTAATCCCCCACCAGCAGTAAATCAAATAATGACTCCAATACACAAAAACAACAACAACCACAACTACTCTGTCCTTAGGGCTGGGTATCGTTCAATAATCTTTGATACCTGTACTGATACCGATACCTTGACCTCGATATCTTTTCTTAACGATATGCCAATTTTATCAAATCCATTTTAACAAAAACAAAGGTCTCTTCACAAACTCAAATGTGTATGTGTAAATAAAAAGCCGATCACAAGCATTATTAGATCATGATCCAAGCACGCTGCATGCTTATTGAGATTTACTCACTTACTCAAAATTTGGTATAAAATGACAGGGACACTTTTTAAATCCTCGATAGTATCGCTCCATAAAAGTATCGAAGCTCGATGCCCAGCCCTACTAAAAGTACAGTCATGCAAGTCTGTAACGTACACAAACAGTTTGCAGGAGGCTTTGTGAAAACTACATGAGAAGAAACAAAGTTTTTTTACCCTGCTCGTGGTTAAACTAAGGGTACAGTTCATGCGTTGTTGGAACTTCTGTTTATAGGAATTAAACATGTCTACATGCACTAGAGAAAATACAAATAGACAGCATATTGAAGCACATGTTGAAAGTTGTGTGTTTGTCAAACTGAAGCAGAGAGACAACTGACGAATAGAAAAGAGAAAAATATGCTGAGAATTTGTTGATTGTTGATTCCTCACTTACAAATATTTTTAGCTGTTGCTGGTAATAAATGTCCTGTACATATAAAGCCATTACATCCTTACTACTTCATCAAAACAGAACTATCTGCAGTGTAGCAACCGCTTTATGTTCAACTAGTTTAAAGTCGGTCTGTGAGTCATCTGGTAAAACAGGCTGCAGCGCCTTAAAGACGAGCACCCGGTGGACACAAAGCCTGAACAGAGGCAACCAGGAAAACTCAGGAAGAGGAAAAACTCACTATACACTTAACATAATATTGTGCTTTAACATTTTCTTCCACCATCATAAAAACCCCCATTAAATCATGCTCCAGCTCCATACATCCAGTTACAGCCCCCACCCCGCCCACTGCGATGCATCACACCCATGGGAGTCGGCGCAGGCTCGCACTTCCTCTCATGGATGTGAGACATCACACAACTCCCGACCCAGATCTCACTGTCATATACAAACACATGAGATACAGATACAAACTACCATTTAACACAAGAGAAAAACAATCTACCCGATCAGAACATTCCTCAAATGTTCCTCAAACCGTATTGCAGGAGGGCTGCTCTACAGTCACATTGGAGAAAACATTCACTTAGCATGCCCGTCTTAATAATATATAAATATTTACATGCAGAGTAGGAATACACTTCCTCTTCCCCTGGGCTAGCATGGCTGTGGTGGCTTTGCGGAGGGTCTCATGCTACATGCTAGATGGTACCAGTCTGGGCTCAACGTGCATTAGTGACAACTAGAAGCTGGGACAGCACTGTTTTAGTTGCACAGGCAGCATTTGGTTCCACATTAACACACTGTCTTCCCGTTAGTGACTCCCCCTAGTGGTGAAATACGAGACGTAAGCCCTAAGCTGATGATGAAACTTTTTTAAACTCTGACTTAAACTTGTAGGGCTGTAGCAGCGTGTAGCAACAACTTTCAAGTAGCTACAGTTGGCATTGCTCAACTTTGTAGTCGGGTTGACTTTTTCTTTACTCAGACATTTACTGTTGTGAATAATAATTTCCAATTTCCACAAAGTAAGTTCTTGCTCAGTTGTTTGTGTTTAACATTTGAGAACTTTGGATCCTTTTGTTAAATGGAACTTTGATACTGGTCAAAGTGGGAGACTGAGAAACATATAGTTTTTATGTTGGTACCAAAACTCAGGCATTGAATGGACACTGGTATTAGATGTAAAATGATACCTAGCTGTATTTGTGCACAGGATTCTTTGCCATAGCACATCTACAGCGCAGCACCTAACCTGTGTGACATCACCTTGCTGTTTGATATACTTCATGCTGGCAGGGAGGATATTACCTTTTGCTTCACATGGCTTGTCCATACTATATATTAATTCTATACAGTGTGTCCTACATAATCGCCATTGTGTTGTTTCAGCGGGTTTATACTACCAGGGATGATAAAATACATGTGACGTCAGACATTTTAAATGAGGGAAGACAAACATCCATGTGGAGCCAAATGCAGCCTTACTGTAGCTCATTAGCTCATCTGCAAGTAGGGATGGGACAAAGAATTAGAACAGCAATATATCGCAACACGGTCTCTGTGATACTGAGACAGCTACAACTTTCTGTTTTTTTTTTAGTCTTTTACTCCAGAATATCGAACTGTTCCACTTCCTGACAGTTTGATGTTGTGCCTCACTTTAATCTCATTTTGTCCATGCACAACTATGAGCAACTAAGCTAGCAGCAAATATATATATATATTTTTTTAACACATATTCTGCCATTTTATGAATGGTGTCCTCTTCAGGTGCGCACACTGTAATGTATCACAGATGACTGTCTTGCAGTATATCACAGAATCACCTGTTTAGTGATTCCATCATGAGCAATATGAATTCCACACATTTCCCAACCCTACTGCGGAGAGCCATATAGTAGTGTATTTACCTTGTCATATTCTATTCCTCATAGAAATACTGTGTATGAATTGTGTTAGTGATACAGTCAGTTCTGGTGAGAGATCATTAGCAATAAGTGTGTTAGGGTATGTTTTTATTTTAGTGTTTCTCAAACGACATTTAGTGTAGTAGTCAGTTTGGGAGACAGACAATGTTTTAATTGGTTAATTGTGACATTTGTTGAGATGTTTTTGACATTAAACTTTTACTTAATCAAGCAGAATAAAATAATGAAGGTGTGAAAATTCATGTCAAATACATAATCTCAGCTTTTCTTTTCTTTTTTTAAAACGGCCGTCTTCCGTTCAGCTCAAACCTCGCCCAGTTCCCAGTTGTCATTTATTGCAACATCGATGCAACTTGAATCCACTGCACAGCCGACTGGCTGTAGTATAGTCTGAAAAGATCAGATTTTAACTGTTCCCATTTTTAATTTTTTTAATTTTTTTTTTTATTAAAACACAAAAGTCACCCCAAACAAGCCCAATTTGGTCAAACCGAAGATCTAAATCAGTGATCCCAAATCATAATGTAAGAGGGGAGATTTCAACCAGCACCAACCCTGGGAGCCCTGAGGATGAGGGAGGGGAGGGGAGGGGAGGGAGGGGGAAGGGGGGAGGGGCGGGCATGCAAGGTGTTGTTGGGGGAGGGGGGGGGGGGTTGTCGCCATCTTCTTGTCGTTCAATCATTCCTGTCGGAGAGAAGCAGTGTGTCTTTTAAGGGGTTGTAATGATTTCCTGTTTCGAAATAAACAAAACACAAGTTGTTGTTATGTTTTCGTACAAATTACAAGCTTAAAAAAAAAAAGAAAAGAAAAGAAAAGATGATGTCTGGACAGTAGACAAAGACAAAACAGCACGTAGACCATTTCCCACCGTCATGGACAACAAGCAGAGCACAACACCTCAAGCAATGTGTGGATGATGCACACACATTATGCTGCATTTAAACATGTAGGAAATTGGAAACTTCTAACTCATAATTTCCTGTTTCGCACCTCAGAGTCAGGAACGATTCAGAAAGTTTTCCTGGCTGATCTCAGAGCGCACATTAGGATTCAAAGAAGATACTAGGGCTGCAGTGCAGTTTTATTATTTATTTTACACTGAACCTTATACTCTTAGTATCAGATCTTCAAAGTACCAACTGTAATGGTTAAATTTAATGAATGTAGGACATGTATAGAAACTTCACAGCTCAGATAAAAGTCAGCCAAGTTGGAATTATGAGTCAATTCAAGTATTTTTTTTCCCAGAATATTTCCAGTCCTTCAATAATCCTGTCCAGACTGTATGTTGCAATAGAATAATAGCGACTGTACATTATTTCAAATATTATTCAACTACCAATGAATCATGTGACATAAAACACCAGTTTTATAGTGTCGAATCACAAACTTCCACCCGAACATCTCGAGTAGAAATGTCTGCAGTGGCACCTTTTAAATCAGAAGGTGGCGCCAGTTCATCTGATAACAAACCAGTCCCTAATTTACCAGTAAACAAAGGTCCCTTACAGTCCTGTCAAGGCAGTGTGATCTCAATACCAGGATATAAAACTGTCTGGACGGCACAGAATTTGTTCAGTTGTCAAGCAATAAAGTTTTTAATGTCACATTCGACTCGTATCGTTCAGCTCTGCTAATATGAAGGTTTTGCTGCAGCCATCTTTATATGTTTTGTTTTGTTTTGGGCTAAAACGGTTGTTATTGCTGTATTTTAAGGCTAACTCGGTAATATACCGTTTAGTTTTATAATATTCTATTCATCCAGACACAATAATTTACACCTTTTAAAGGAGTATTCAAACCTTTGCAGTTGCTGTTAATCCCTCCCCCAAAACTCATCTCTCAAATAAACCTACAAACCACTGGAAATTAAGCACAATACATTTTTGAGAGTAACTCCACTTTGTAATTCTTTTTTCTTTTCTGTAATAATTTATTATTATAGTATTACATTGTGCATGGAGTTATAACCTTCACCATCACCCTGAGCTCTGGCCTCTGGGTCCCACCCTTCATTATGTCAGTGTTGAATGTGGTGCGACTCGGCGAAGGTCGTCTGTGTTACCAGTCGGCGGGGACAGAATTTAGCACGTGGACTCATAAATTAACACAGGCGTCACTCAGACAGCAGCAGTGCTGAACTTCTGCTGCAGTATTAAGGAGAAAGACCGAGCAGGTCGGACACGTCCTTGTGTGACCTGCTTTTACAACGAACCTCTACCTTCCTGTTTTTACCTGTTTGATCATCTCTCCAGTTTTCTCGATGATGATGGTCTTGGCCTCTTTGACGGGTGAAGTGGCCTGGTAGTCATCGCTGAGCAGGCCAAGGATGGGGTACTGGTTCCTGTACCTAAACACACACACACACACACACACACACACACACACACACACACACACACACACACACACACACACACACACACACACGTTCAGGTATGTCTCAAACTAACATTTTGTTTATTTCCTTACAGTAATTTCAGCCTGACTACCAGCAACTACCTAATGAAAGTTTTATTTTTTATCTTTTATGATTTATAGTTTACTATGAGGTTAAGACAAGGAAATGCATCTACGTTTAACCCTTAGTTAAACAGTTATTGATTATCAGAATAGCTAACTAATAGATTTATTTCAGCTCTATAGCACAGTGTAGAACATGTAATCTGGTCATACGTGTAATCTGACAGTTTGTACCTCTTGGTGATGATGGTCTTGGTGACTTGGTTCTTGGCGCTATCGTTCTTCTCGAGCATCAGCCTCCTGATCTCCTGAGGGTCACAAGAGGTCAAAGGTCAACGGAGGGGACAAGTACAGTGTGACTAAAATAACTACTACTCACTAAAACGTTGCATCCACATTTATTTCCTTTGTCATTTTGTATTATCTCGTTATCTTGGTTTTATAATCTGTATCAGAGAAGCCGACTTATTTTTCCTCTCACATTTTTCCCTTCGGCTTCCCCTCTCCACTTAAATGCAAATTAACTTCATCTTAAAACCATTGCTGCTGCCCTTTGTGTGTGTGAGAAACTGTAACCTAGGTATTTGACGCCAGCACCCTGAGGTGAAAAAACATTCCTGAGGTTGAATTAACTGACAATCTGCTTCTGCAGAGACGCTGCTCAAACAACGGTCAGAATGCAGTTGGACCTGAAAACCGATCAGTGACATAAATTAAGTCATGACACAAGCCTGGATCAGGTGTACAAGTATTTCTGTAACAGCAAACTTGGTGGCTTGGTTTTTATTTATACGCTTCATTCCAGGTAGGTCACGTGTTTCTTTTTGCATGACTACACATATACACATACACACACACACACACACACACACACACACACACACACACACACACGTTCATTCAGAGTTTAGTAAGTGATACCTTTATGGTTATCATATTTTCATATTCAACTTAATTCTCTCCCTGAGCCTCTGTGAATTAGTCGACTGTAACAACAAGAGAGACAGTGTTGGCGTGTCGTGTTGCAGACCTCCTCCTGCCGGGTGATGGTGCTCTGCCGCTGCTCCAGCGTGGCGAGCAGCTCCGAGATCCTCAGCTGGAGACTCTTCTCTGAGGACGACCTGTCACCGGTGACCTCCGTCTGGACTCGTGTTATCTGGGTCTGGAGGCAGAGCACAGAGGGACGAGGAACGTTTCAAGTATGTAAATGAGAATATTCTGCCTTCAGATCTGATCTGTTAGACCCCAGAGGGAATTCAAAACGGCGTTTTCAGTCTTTTGTATGTTACATTGTGGTCTTGTCTCAGTCTCACCCTCAGCCTCTGTATCTCCTGGTCTTTCTCTTGTCTGATGGAGCTGAGCTGCTCTTTGTACTGACGTGACAGCTCCTCTGTCTTGATGTGCAGGGTGGAGCTGCTGCTCTGGCCTGCGAGCTGAAGCACAGGAGGACGAGGAAGAAACAGAGGAAGAAAGAGAATCATCACATCATTGTCGCAGCGTTGATATTACCTGCCTCCTGATTTTCTCATTTTCTTTTTTTAAATCTCAATATTCATTATTCATCTCATCCTCCTCATGAAGATTTATGTATTTCAGATGGGTTTTGTCACATAAATCATCACCTTCCAGCATCATCTACTGTCACTTTAACTCCATTCATACGGATATTCCTTCTGCTCGTACTCTCCCACATGAATTTTATATTTTCCAAATCACGCTGCCAAACACCTCACACATGTCTCTATCGGTGTGGGGAGTTTTTTTTTCCTGATCATTTTGTTAAGCAGTCATGTTAGAACTTCAACCTCATGCTGACTGATTTATTTCATGAAGGAAAAAGAATTTGGCTCGTAAAGTTCAATGTAACCGCAGTCGGTGATCAAAGAGCATACTGGTTTTACCTGCACTGTGATACCAAACCCAGACGTGTGAGCACATTTTTATATCATGTAACTTTATTTATGAGTCACTGTTTAGATCAAAGAAACTTCAGATTGGTTCAGCACTTAAATATGACATACATGACAAAACCGACAACTTCTGAGGTCTATTTTTCCAGGTGGATGTATATTTGGAAGAGACAGAGGAGGTGGGACGGGTGGTGCTTTACCTTCTGTCGGAGCAGCTCGTTCTCCTTCTCCATCGCTCTCATCCTTCCCTCCAGCTCTCTGATCTTGAACTCACGGCTGGAGTCGGTGTTTCGGGTGCTCAGCAGCTGACTCTCCAGGGAGCGCTGGGATGTGCAGGTTTCCTTCAGAGACAGCTGGAGAACGACACGCACGCACGCACGCACGCACACACACACACACACACACGCACGAAGGTTATAATGTCCATTTTTTGGTGATTTTGGATGCTGTATTATTATTATATGTATGTACTATTTATTTCATTTTTAATCATACAGGATCAAATTCAGACTCTGAGTATGACACTGCAGTTAAAGTTTAGATAAGAACTGTTTCTCTGTAATGTTACAGGAGAAGTTACTGCCATTATAGTAATGCACTACTTCTTTCTTTAGTAAGTACAGACAGGTGTACTGTACCTGGAGCTGTCTGTTGTTTTCTCGCACGGCCTCCAGGAGGCTGTCATACTGCCGGGCCTGGTCTGCTTTGAAACTCAGGTCTCTCTCCAGTGACTCCTTCTCACTCTCCAGACGCTGCGACACGAGAGACAGGCAGAGGGAATCACTCGCATCTCCATGGTAACGGTAAGACGCTGGTACGTGTTTTAAAAGTCGAACAATCAGATATTTCCTATTGATTTCCTCTACTATTGTACATTCTGTATCATAAGAAGAAGAAGAAAACATTATAAAAGATTAAATATATATAAGATATAAACAACAACAATCTTTTTATCTTTTTATCTATTTGTTCAGTTTTGTTCTGTTTGAGCTGCTAATTGTTTTTCGGAAATGCAAACACACAATAAGATAAAAAGGCTCCACCTCATTGACACTGGTAGAAATGAGCTGTTATTCTCTGGCCTGAAGCCTGAACATGTCTGGTGTCATTTAAAGCATTTCATTAACTCACACGACCGTGAACAGCTCATGGCACAGGCTGTGGAGACACGCTGTTCCCGCCTCTCTCTAACTGCTGTGGATCCATTTTACGTCCATCGTGTGTACGACATGAATGTTCTTTTGAATGCAGGATTTTTACTTGAATCAAAGTATTTATATTGTGGTATTATTACTGTCACATAAGTGAAGGTCCATGAGTGCTACTACAGTATAATAAAGAAGCAAATAACTATTGTCAACTACTCTTCCCTTCTTTAATCTTTGTGGTAAATTTCTGGAGCAGTTTGGTCGCGTTTCTTGTCTTGTCTTGTCAAAGCGGAGGATCCAGCTTCTTTGGAAGATCGAGTTACTGTTAAGAGTCGACGGCTGGACCACACACACACACACACACACACACACACACACACACACACACACACACACACACACACAGTTCTACACTGAACTGTAATGATTATATTTCCCCTGTTTACTGAGATGTTTAAACCCTGGTGTTAAAATCTACGTCATGGTGACAAAAACAAGGACCTAACTAAACTCTCTCAGCATTTCTTCAGACGGGGATGTTCTTCCTGCAGCTCTTACCCGCAGGTCCTCGGACATGTGGAGGAGCTCCTCTCTCAGACTGCTGAAGGTGGACAGCAGCAGACGCATGCTCTTATCAGCAGTGAGACGAGTCTGACGCAGAAACACACACACACACACACACACACACAGTCATTAATGAATAAATGACTTTAACCACACCTCCCTATTTGGCATTAATAAGCAGCATAAAATTAATGGTTTATAACAGATTATTAAATGGTTGTAAACAAAATATAAATACCAACATTTGTGTTCATCATATAACTCCTCCTTTATTACTCATCCCATTAAGCATCCATTACTGGAATATAAACAGCTGATGGGTGTTGGGAGTTGTAATCATAGATAATTAGTTTTAAATACATTGCTAAACAATTTTAAACCAGCCTGGGAATTATATGTACACGTGTATACAGAGTTATAAATAATAAATTCTTTATAACACACTGTGAAGGCTTTGTTCTGTAATGATATATCATTATATATGATTCTATATTAAAGCTATGCTTTGTTATTCTTCATTCATTACTGATAAATGCACTGATAAACAGTTGAAAATTACAAATAAATAATAAACTGCTAGTCTGCATTATAAACCATGTGTTAATATAATAAAGTTTGCCCAGACAAAGAGACACGCATGTTAAAGATAAAGCAACTGAATAATAAATAATAAATAACAGTGATTCAAATCAGAGCAAAATATAAAAAATTTTAAAAAGGAAAATGATGAAAGATTTTAAGATTTTGAAAACAGTCAAAAGGGTTCAAGGTTCAGCGTGCACACTCTTCGTGTGTGTGTGTGTGTGCGTGTGTGCGTGTGTGCGTGCGTGCGTGCGTGCGTGCGTGCGTGCGTGTGTGTGTCTCAGACACTGGTCTGATAGGTAAGTGTGTCTAATCTGTCACTCACCTGCAGCAGGTAGCGGATTTGTTGTTTGGTCAGTTCAGTGGTTCCTTTGGGAATCAAAGCCTCCACCTCCTCTCTCTCCACCTGAACACACAAGTAAAACAACTGAGTAAAATCACACCATTGGAGAATGAAGAGAAATCTTTTCTTTTTGTGTAAATTTCCACACATCTGAATGGATTACTTGTACTGTTGAGAAAGTGTTTGGTGCCTAAACTACTGGAGCAAACACACAAAGAATCAAACATCTAAACAAAGGTGAGAAAATGTTCTAACATTGAGCCATTAAACATTAAAGTGCTGTTGTTTGTTTCTCCATCCGTTTGTTTTTGCATTCCTAGTTTAGTGATGAAGTTGTTTGTGTTCGCAGATTTATTTATCAGATGTGAGTGATGCAGGTCTGTTTCTCACCTTGTAGTCACTGAGATCCAGCTTGTGTTTCCTGTAACACAGAGAGGAAAGACAAACAATGAGGATGAGAGAGCGACAACATGACTGGAACAGACCTGAGACGTGTGTGTGCGTGTGCGTGTGTGCGAGCGTGTTTGACGGTGTGTGTTTGAGAGTACAGGGTTCACTGATTGTGTCTCCATGACTCAGAGTCTTAAGTCAACAGGGTCTCAACCAGACACTGAGACAGAGGTGGGTGTGTTTTATGTATTTATCATTTTGTGAGGACAAAAATGTGTGTGTGTCACACACACACTACATAATGTTTACCTGTTCGTCCTAGGTCTGAAATATTACATCCTCCCTGAGTTCAATAATGCCTGCAGTTTTGGACGGGATTATTAAAATGAGTAGTCGATACATCTTGTTCCTTGTACAATTACTCTGTTATATAACCTGCAGGTGACAATGGCCACCCCCACCCTGCCCCAGGCTGTGGCTGCTCACCCCATTTAGAGGATATACGCTACAATGATGCCCGCGCTCGTGCCAAAAAGAGTCTGCCAGATTGTCAGGGCGTGTGCTGTTTGGCAAAATATGGCACAGCGGATCGGCCTGCCTCCTGGCCTCCCACCAAACAAAATGTCCTTGATCCACCTCGTGCTTGTGGTTGAGGTGGATGTCAGGATCGTAAATAACCATAAGAACCATCATTTATATGCATCAGGATTCATGAGGTGCTTTGCATTGAGGTTTGAAAGTGGGCGTATGGAGGACGGGATATGAGGCTGATCCATGTGCGCGCAAGTTCTTTGTGATTTACAAGAGGAACACTTTTAGTTTGAATCCCATGCACTGTTTTATAAATGAGGCCTCTGGTAGTCGGATACATTCGTTGTTGGTTTGGTCTTTTCATGGGATTTGGAGGATTAAGACTTTGTGGCTGGTGTCTGATTCAGGACCGGACCTGCAGAGTCTGCAGAACCAGTGTGAGGTAAGAAACTGCAGCAATTACAAGGGCAGGAAATCAACCGAAACTCGCCTCAGACCTGTTGGAGCTTGCTGCTCAGGATACTAACGCCAAACCATGCGTCTGTCTCCATGACAATATCCCACAGCTGCTGACGAGGAATCTATTAGCCTATTTGCCAGGATAATAGAACTAGACCGTTAGTGATATCTGACATGAAACTGTTCACACCCAACGAAACCACAGGAAAGCAGGAAAATTGGCGCCTGTGGCAGGATATCCAGGCCCAGACCAGCTACAGGGGCAGTTTAGTTCTTGTCTATCTTAAGCTGGACTGTGGTGCAATGAATTCTGGGAAAATTAAGACTTTTTTTAAAATAAAAAAAAATGGCCAACCGAAAAACAATCGCTCAGCTCTGTTTACCCCAGCAGCAAATGTTTGTCGTTTGACGTTTTACTTGGGAAATTCAGCGAAGAGTGAAACAATAGACACTCTGACTTGCATTCGACTATGAGCAAAATTAAGACTGGACCAGCACTACAGACCAGTCTGAAATATCTTTGTGAAAGCGGCCCCAGTACAAACACCACCTGCCTGTGACGCCTCACCTCCAGGTGTGCTGAGTAACTTCTATCACTTACTGTCCACGGATCTTGGACACGTGCTCGGAGATGCAGGAGTGGATGTCGCAGTTCTTCCTGTAGACGTCGGCCAGCAGCTCGCCGAAGTAACGCGTGTCCATCTTCGCCGGCTGGGGCACCTCCTTGATGGGGATCTTTTCTATCGGCTTCTGCTGTATGACGTTGACGATCTCCACCTCTTCCACCTCCACCGTCTCCTCCTCCTCCTCCTCCTCCTCCTCCTCTTCCTCCTGCAGGGAGACAGATTTTTAATTACTGTCTGTTAATAAGTTCTGTTTGAAGTTAGCACTATGTCTAGTTTCTAGTTTTAGCTCTTGACCTCCAGACTTCTATTGGTTTCCTATCATTTTACTACAGTAATTATACAGTATTACCTCCACCAAGGAGGTTCTGTTTGTTTGTTTGTTTGTCAGCAGGATTACACACAAAAAGTACTGAACCTATTTGCACATAATTTGATGGTGAATGAGCCAAGGATGAACCTATTCAATATTGGGACAGATCCAGATCATTTACTAAGAGGAAGTCTGGTGTATGTTGACATGGGCCTTGGTGAAGGTCTGCGCTCTCCCAGTCCTCCTCTAGTTGTTTGTCTTTGTTGATGAGCCAAAATACTCTCATGTACATCATCTGTCTTGTGTGGACAGACACAAAAGAACTCCCATCAGAGCGAGCAGCGCCAGCAGAGCAATCTGTGCTAGGTTCAGATTAGATAACATCTTTTCGGCTTTGCAATGAACACAGGGACCGAGACTGGGTTGCAACCATGATGTTGACAATCGCAAGTTTAGAGGAATTACAAAAATATGTGGACGGTTTTCTGGTTGCAGGCTTTCATCAGATTTTGGGACCGGGCTGGAAGCACATTAAGGGAAAGCGATCGTATTCGGAGTTCCAGTTTCAGTTCCAGTTCTTGAAACTACACATCCACCGAGTTTGAAGCACACCATTATCAGAAATATTATTTTATGCTACATTATTCAAATTTCCTTTACTGGAACTAAAGAACCTCGACCAATCCAAGAAAATCAGAACCTGAGGTCCCAGGACCTCCAACTGCCACACTGTCCTCCCACACTCCTGCACCACCTACATGTGATCTGAGCCAAACACACCCATCACCTGCTCTTATCTACATGTGGCAACAGAAACAATTGTTGCATAACCTGTTATCTAACGCCACACTGAGCAGAGCAGAGCTGAGCTGCTGTGTGTACTCCTCACACAGAAAGTACCTTCACTCTCTTCAAACACCCCGTCTGTCAAACTCTTAGTTTGCGGACAGACAGGTGGTAAACGCCGGCATTATTCATAATGTTTGTATTGTCTTGTTTCAGGCTCTTTTCCTCTGTCTCCATGTTCTTTGTTAGAAAGCTGGTTGTTAGCACTTTAAAAATCATTTCCTCTCAGTTACACCCACCAGACGTTGACAACCATCTAGGACCAACAAGACGATATTATCGCTCACGTCTGAAGCCTTTCAGTTTAGGGAAGATCGGAGTCCTGAGTGAGATTAAATCTCATAAATAGTGAGGAATGAAGTTTGGCGCTTCTTTTTCTGTGTGAAAGACTGGTTGGTTGACAAGCCTGTTTGTTAATTGACTCTTTTGGCCTCATTTAACCCTCATCCTCAAATTTATCGCAGGGTGCAGCTGTTTTTGTTGCAGGGTGTGTAACGCTAACCTTAACCCTACCTGTCCCTGTAAATGTAATATATCATGAGGGCTGGTGGACGGGTTTCAAGTATAATAATGACATATTAATGACTTGCTCTGAGTCTGATTATAGACATTAATGTTTCTGTTGAATTAATTGCTCAGATAAAAGCAGGTGCATGATTTTTTTTTTTCCCCAGCATGAAAAACTAGAGCTTCTGTCCTGAAGCAAAACCAGCGTTGAGCCAGTTGAAGGCAGAGTTTCACTTAAGATAAAATCCAGGATTTTCAGTTAATACTTGTAATGGCAACACTAAATTATCCTGATAGTAGTTTGCTACTCAAATGACAAGGAAATGTATCTTTCTGAACTGAACAAGTCATCCATGTTCAGCTGGATAAATTAGCCTACATTGTTTTATTTGGTTTTTTATCCTGGTTTCACCTCTGGCAAAGAAAAGCTTTGTCTGATGTCTCGTCTTCTCAAATATCCAAAACTGTGCTGAGCAATCAAACCAGATTCCACAGGAGCCGGGGTGGGGGGGGGATCAGGAGCTACAATTTCCCATCAAGAGAAGTTAAACACTATTGTGCCATTGGAGGGCCACCAAGACCCACACGGAGCCTGGCGGCACTTCAAGATCATGTTCAGTTTTTGTTGACACTGTGTATGAGGAGGGTTCATTGTACTGAGAGGGTTTGTCCGCCTCTGCCAAAAATCATCTAATTCCAGCTTTTCAAATGTGAGGAATTGCTGATTTTCTGTGTTTTATATCAGTGTAAACTGAACATCTTTGTCAGCTTGTGCTCTTGGTGATTGTGATGGAGATTTTCCACTATTTCCTTATATTTCATAGATATAATGCAGTCAAACATGTCACCACCACCACTCCTGATATAGTGCCAGCAAAAACTGAACATTATATTGTTCTTAAACATAAGGTTTATTGCAGGATTGTTTTGTTTGTATCTAATTGCTTTAGACTTTAGATGTTCCTGATAAACTGGTAGTTCAGAAAACAGTGGCCCTTTGTACCTCCCGTAGCCACGACTCATGCAGCAGGGTCAATAGCAGAAAGACTAAACAATGATGTCACTACTACCAGGAAACACTGGCACAGGAGTTACATTCACATTGGAAAAAAAAAAAGAAAGAAAGAAAGAAAGGAAACGCTACAGGAAGGAGGAACAAAACAGGCGGAGGTGCAGCTAAAAGGCCTGAAAGATCACAGGTCTGATTCCAACACTGAAACCAAAACAAGCTCAAGTATTGTAGACGGGGGTCAACGCCACAGTGAGCACAAAGTGACACTACAAGAGGCTGTTAGGAATTTGATTCCTGCTGGGAACCTGTTATGTTGTTCAGGGACAAGAATGCGTCTTTTGTCTGCGCCTAAAAAGCCAGTGTTTTACCTTTGCAAGTCAAACCTGACTAAATCACAGTCAGTGGGAACTCAAGCCCCTTAAAACAAGTGTTCTTTCTATCCAGACATATCCACTTGAATTGAAAAGTGGTGGAAACCTGGTGTTCAAACCTCACAGCAGGACCAAAGACTTTTTTTCATCAGGAGCTTTTATCTTCATTCTTAAACATTAAATGCAAACTGAAGAGACACAGGGAGGGTAAGTTAAGTGTACACATGTGAAGCCTGTGCTCACATGGAGGTGGGTGTGTCCCAGCGCTGCAGGGCTGTGGCTGCCACGGTTACATGCCTGTCATTCCTGCAGTGAAAGGGAGAGTAGAGACCACAGACAAGACCTGAAGCAGTCTGGAGACGAAGGTCGAGGAGGACTGGCTCGTTTTCACCAGACATACCGGCAGCTTCCAGTTCTGACAATGAGTTGGTGCTTAAAGTTAGCATTTATCCCACTGTCATATGTTAGTAAAAAATATTGGACCTTAGACCGTGAATATCCAAAATGAATTTCCTGACAATGGAGCTATGTAAAGTTAACGGTCTGACCTTAATGTGCATGTGGTGTGTCCAAAATAAAAGAGTTCATTCTCTGCGGAGCTGGAACTCTGCCAATCACTTCTCTATGAGTTTCATTCTGTGAGTAAGGTCTCACCACTATCGTTAGGATCAGGAAACATGATAAAAATGCCTCAGGTCGACTCTGACAGAGTTTAACATGCAGTTAACCTGCAGACGTGAAATTCCAGGGAACCTCCGCAGAGCTGAGCTCATACTGCTGAGGGAGGAAAACAACAACCTCATAGTGAGAGGTCAGTGGGTTAGGGTTGCAGTAGAAGCGTGTGTGTGTGTGTGTGTGTGTGTGTGTATATAAAAGGTAGACTGACCTAGAAAAGAGTGACACCATAGAGATAACAGAGCAGCCCTGGATCCAAGGAAGAGATTTTTGGTTTTTTTTTTTTTGTAAATAAAAGTTGTTTTGCATCAATCTTGAACTGAAATGGCAGATTTCAGATTCGGCAGATTAGCAGATCAATAAATTAAAAAGACAATGACAAATTCATTATTTGCAGCCCTAAATATCTATAATCGTTGTGTAGTGAAAGGGTGGTAATATGCACATGAAGTCTCTTGCATGCAACAAAACCAGTGTTGCCACTCCAGCTGAAGAACTACAGTAAGAGGTTGAGTTTCATGTTCCTCTCCCTGTCTGGAGTCAGACCCTGTTTACATGTGACATGACCTCAGGTGTTATTTACAGGTAAAAGTTGACAAATAAGGAAACAAAAAGCAGAGCAGCAACTTCCTGTTCAAACACAAACAAACAAACGAACCACTCATCACCAGAACCTGACTGAACCCAGAGGACCAGTAATCCAATATCTACAGCCAATACATCATCACATCACCTCTTCACCATGTCAGGCCCTCTCTGTGTGTGTGTGTGTGTGTGTGTGTGTGTGTGTGTGGGTGTGTGTGTGTGTGTGTGTGTGTGTGTGTGTGTGTATATGTGGAGAACATGTGTTTGCGTCAGTGGGTGGTGGGTAATGTTTGCTCGTCTATTCTCTAACTGTAATGGATATTGGGACATTTGCCAGACTTGGTCCAGAGTCACTCACTTATCACCTCAGAGAGAGAGAGAGAGATAGGGAGAGAGAGAGAGAGAGAGAGAGAGAGAATTGTCAAGAGATGGATGCGC